AAAAAAAGTGATTGGGAGAGTACATAAAAAATGTGAACTTAGCACATTTTGCAACACCACTGGAAGTACCCATCTTCACCTTGCCTTTGAGCTTTTCCTCCCTTCATATTCCATGACTGGAGTATTCTTATTCATTCATTCAACTGATATTTTTTGAGGACCTACTGTATGCCATGTTCACTGCTGGAGAGGCTGATGCTAGGCAGTGACTAATCCCGATTGCAGCTCATCCATAGCGAATAAGGCCAGCACTAAACTAAGCAAGTAACGAATGAACACACAAGTTAACAGTGGCATGGCACGATGCTAGCAAAACTGGGCGATGTCATGAGGAGGGATGTGTCTAAGGAGACGGAATCTGGGAATAATGTTGAGAAACTTGCCTGCAGATATCTGAGAGAAAAGCATACCATTGAGGGAGAAGAGCCAGGACAAAGGCTCTGATGCTGATGAATTGGCATGTTTGAGGAAGAGAAAGAAGGCCAGAGATAAACAATGTCTAATACCAGGAAAAACAGAAAATCAAGGAGAGATTTACTTATACAGTATAATGAATATTCAAATAAAAAAGAATGGAGTGAATTCAACAGAAAATGGGCAAGAGACTTAGACAATATACAAAGGAGGGAATCCAAAATGTGAGCAGGCATAAAGAGATAACCCTCTGATAATTAGAAGAATAAACACGACAACACTAACGGATCATTTTACAAATAGCAGCTGGGCAAATACAGATAGAGGGTTGGAGAGTGTGTGGTTACAAACACCCTGAAGCACTGTGGATTGGGGTGCTGGCTGGGGAAGTTAATTTGGATTGCAGGAAATCTCTCCCTAAGAGACTGTTACACAGACCAGATGAGGGCATGTATACAAAGATGCTCGACAGTGTTATTTGTGAAGGGAGGACATTCAAACCATCAATAAAATGTCTGGGGGCACAGAGGTCATATGGACAGGGGCCCATTTTGGAGGACTGTGGATCAGTAGCATGTGACTGAGCAGATTTTAGCACTACAACATGAAGGAGTGGGAAAAAGAAACAGAATAACAGAATGTGCTATACAACACAGCACTGTTGGTGCAAATTAAAAACACCTGCAGGGGGGGCAGGGCAGTTGTTACTGCTCTGCCTGCTGTGCTCTTGTGATGTGCGCAATGAATTTGTCTTTTTCTAAAAAACAAAATCCAAAACACTTGAAACAAACAAACAAAAACCCAACCAAACCGAAACACCAAAACAAGACTGAAGATTTTACCAGACTGGGTGCAGTAATACATGTCTGTAATCCCAGCTACTAGAGAAGCTGAGGATTGAAAGTTACGGTCTGCCTGATATATATGACACAGTGTATGAAAGAGGGGTGCAGACAGAAGAGGGGGTCCAAATATGATTAAAATATATTGTATAAAATTCACAAAAACTCAATTAAAAATAACAATAGAAAGAAAGAAAGTTCAAGGCCTGGACTACATAGGGAGTTGGAGGTCAGTCTGGGCAACTTAGTGAGACCCTGTTTCAACAAACAAATAGGCTAGAGATGTAGCTCCATGGCAAAGTGTTTGTTTAGCATATGCAAGGGCCTGAATTCAATTCCCTACCCCTACAAAAGAAAAAAAAGAAGAAAAGGTTTTGCCAGACACAGGAAGATGCATTTGAAATATATTGAATAGTTGCTTAAAGATTAGGTCAGAAGGATGGCTGGCACATTAGCTAGGAGGAGGAGACTGCATTCCAGACACAGGCACATGCACAGGCTTGCAGCTTTTGGAGAGCTGGTGCCCCTGAGTAGCTGCTGGCACCCCCCACATGGCTAAGGCAGAGGGTCCAAAGGGAGAGTGGGAAAGAGACCGGTCCTAAGGGCCTTTTCAGCTTCCTCTAGGAATTTGTACTTTACCTTGGTGGCAGATAGGAAGCCACTGAAGAGCTTCAGGAAAGAAGTGGCCTGCCCGGATATGAGCTTTAGGAATCTCACTCTGACTGCTGCAGAGAGGATAAGTCCAAGGCAGAGCCTAGCGGCCATCAGAGTAGCAGATAAGCTGCCATACTCCAGGCAAAGGTGAAGACTTTCTAACTCACTCAACTTGTCTAATTCTGTCCTCCCCTAGTGATGTTACTTCCACAGACTCAAAGGTTCAACCAGCCACAGAGTTCTTGTCCTGTGGGTATCACAGTGACCACAGTGCCTGTGACTTTGTGTACAACACAGAGTCTGGCTAAGTCCAGGATATGCTATAAGTCCAGCAAAGCTTGGCTGATCTGACCAATCATCCTCTCTGCAGCCCATCGCCAACAGAATAAGTGGGTCCTAATCATCCTCCCACCCCAGGGAACCTGGAATTAAGCATTCCTTTTACCAACAAGGAAAGAGGAAAGCTACGCTCAGAAAGAGACACATCCAAGGCCACATAGCTTCTGAGAGGTCTGTCTCCAGCATTCAAGAGCCTTCATCTTTACTCTGTGCTTTCAGACACCTAACTAGGTAAACCCTAGGCTATCAGGGCTATGTGCCTAAGAAATCATCTCATGGGCTGGAGAGATGGCTCAGTAGTTAAGAGCACTTGCTGCTCTTGCAAAGGATCCAGGTTTGCTTCCCAGGACCACTTGGCAGCTAACAATCATCCATACTTACAGTTACAGGGGATCTGTTGCCCTCTTCTGGCCTCCACAGGCATTGTACAACACAGGTGCACTTACATACATGCAGGCAAAACACTCATACACATAAAATAAAAATAAAATTTTAAATTGAAAAATAAATAATCTCATCTAACACATTTCGGAAAACTAACCTAAGGTCCAGTGAAGGGAAAGGCTTGCTTGGGAGCATCAATTCACAGTTGGAACTTTATTCTGAGTCTCTTGACCTCCAACCCTCACTTTTCCCTATGCACAGGGCACCCGTCTGAAGTTAAAGCTGTGTGCTGGTTGTGAAAACTGTTGATTCAGTTCCCAATTCTGTTGTATGAGACTGTGAGTGTGATGAAATGGGCATAATCTTTGGAGACACATAGATCTAATTTCAAATTCAAGCTGCCAAGTAGGAAAGAATTGTTTATACATGACTACACATTAATGAACATGTATATGCCATATACATATGTGTGCAAATGCTTGACTGTACACAGACCCTCTCTGGAGGATGTACATGAAGTTTGTTCCGTGGTTTGCATCCAAAGAGGAGGCCTGGCCAAGGAGAACTTTTTGCTGTATACACTTCTTTTGCATGCCTTTGCACTTTTTGAATCTATGCGCAATAGTTTTCTGTCTTTATACTAAAAAATGGTCTTCTAAGGCTAGGTGTGGTGGCACATACCCTTAATCCTAGCACTCAGGAGGCAGAGGTAGGTGGATCTCTGTGAGTTTGAAGCCAATGTGGTCTACATATGGAGTTCCAGGCTATCCAAGACAACATAGTGAGAACCTGTCTCAACACGACCCCCCAAAAGAAAGGTCTTCTCTATTATTCATTGAATATTCTGAGGGAAGCTATCTATCTTCCTTGAAGATATGTTCATTACATTCTTTATGGTCCCCTGGTGGGATGGCCTGTGATTTTAGAGGGCTGGCAGTCAGATGGGGCCCTCATTGGGTGTTATAGGACCAGGTTTGGAGAGCCCTACCCTGTTGGCAGTTGCCTGACAGTGTGTGTGAGTGAAAGAGACAAAGTGATCTAGGATTCTGGAAGTGGCTGTAGCAGTCTCCCAGGGAAGACCAGAGCTGCCAGAATAGGAATGGTGAAAAGAGGTGGGTACACAGATGGATGAACTTTCTTTAAGAGAAGGCAGTGGGAAGGCTGTTTGATAGAGGAGGGAAAAGATTTCATAACCATAAATCCTCAGTGGGTCGTCCCCCTCTCTCCCTCCCAGTCTTGTCCCTAGGCAGTCTATAGAGATGCTGAGCCCCTGGGGCTTGGATGCTCTGCCCTTGGTCCTGAAGCCGCATCAGCACCGCTGTTGAGTTTGGGGACTGGACACTCTAGTTAGTGATTCTTCTCTAACTGAGGTCCTGTCCCTTCTCTTCCCCAGTAAGTGGGATAAACTAAGCCTGGATGCCTCTCCTTTCCCTGGGATCTCTCCTAGACTATGAAGACCACTGAGAACTCACCTCATGTTCACCTTTGAAAAAATATCAGTATGCTTGCACCATGCAGCCCTGATCCTCCTAGGGTGCTGCCTGTACCCACTTTCCACAAGTTCTAGTCCTAGCTACCTGACCCACATACAAGCTCACACCAGCCAACATGGGCCCCAGCACACCCAGTGGAGCACACCCCTCCAAATCCATGGTTCATCCCCCTCAGAGCACCAGATGTTAGATGAGCGAGCAAGCAGAACCCTACCTAGGTCTCTCAACCTTGATTTTTTTTTTGATTAACGCATTTTTTGACAATTGTATTATTTCCATCAGTCATGTGATTTTCGTTTCTTTTTGAAAACATCAGAGAAAACACCCCTAGCCCATTCCCTAGCACTTTGTGAAGACTGCATGCTGAGAGTGACTCTTCCAAAAATTCTAGGCTGAAGATGTCAGCGACAATCTGAAGTGTGACAGAGTTTGCTCTGGCTCCAGAGGAGAGGGAAGGTGCATCCTCAGGGGTCTTCATAGTCCAAGGGAGATCCCAGGAAGTAGGCAAAGGCGAAGCAGCAGGCTGAGTTTGTCCTCACTTACTGAGGAAGGGAATTTCCTTTGTCCCTACTCTTTCATCCCAGTAGAAAACTTTCTATTCCCGATTGGCAGCTGCAGAATGAGATCATAGCTGGCCTGGTGAGAGGGTAGCACAGAGGGCACCCAGACACAGGGTGAGAGAGCAAAAAGCTCAGGGAGCCACTGGTAATGGAATGCCACCTCCAACCATTGAACTAGGAACAGGCTCCGACTACATCCTTCCTCCCCTGTCTCAATTTCTCATCCCACCCCACTAGCTCCAGAAAAGAACCCTCAACTACATCTTCGGTTCTCTGTGTGACTGGGTTACTAAACTTTCCCAAACCTGTTTCTTCATTTGTAAAAACAAACCCTGTGGCTGTCGGGCAAAGTCACAGTGGCCAGCAGAGAACAGATCCAACAAGCCCTTACCGGTTCTCAGACACCAGGATCTGCTCCAGCAGGCGCGCTGCCTGCACGCGGGTCTCCAGCTCCGGCGCCTGCAGCAGCCGCAACAGCAGGTCCAGGCCACCTTCCAGGCGGATCGCGTCGCACAGACCTTGGGCCACCTCGCGGCCCACGGCCGGCAGTAGCCAGGCCTCCTCCACTAGCTGGAAGACCTCGGCTAGGCCGGCGCCCATCGCCCGCGCGGCGCCCGCCTGCTTCAGCGCTGACAGCGCCTGCTGCAGCTCCGGCAGCGAACGCTCCAGGGCGCCCTGCACCTCGGCGCCCACCCCAGGCGACACTGCGCGGGACCCGCGGCCGCCCGCAGCCCACCACGGGCTGCCGCCGCTGCGATCCGACCCGGGCACTGTCAGCCGATCAGCGCCCGGCCGAGGGCCAGACATGGCGAAGAAGCGGTACAGCTTGTAAGCCGAGAAGAGCAACGTCAGGACCATGGGCGCCGGGCTGCGGGGGTCATGCCGGGCCTGCGGGGAGGCGGGGCCGGGCGGAGCGACCCCGACCTTGGGAGTCAGGCAAAAAGAAAAGGGGACCAGGCACGGGCGCGGATCAGAAGTTTAGTAAGGGAGGGAGAGGGGCAACTCTTGGGCGCAGCGCTCGGGGAAGGCCATGCCAGTCCAGATGCTGGGAGTGGACCGAAGGAGGGAGAGCCAAGCCGAGGATAGACCCCGACCCTCAAGGGTAGAGGTGGGAGCGACCAGAACAAAGCTCAGCTCCAGCCTCAGGCTCCGGGATGCTGAGATGCTCAGCAGCAGCCACGCCCCTGAGTGGTGGAGTCCAGAATTCCACGCCCAGCCTCTGGGTCTCCTGGGCTCCTCCCCGGGGCGGCTAGCGCAGCTCCACCCCTCAAGCCTCCAGCCACGCCCACACCCTGGCCCAGACTCCTTCCTCTGGCCTGTGCTGGGATATAACGGAATAGGGTGGGAAGTGTTGTCTTGGGTTCACGCCATACCTCCCCGCTGAGCGTACCCTATCCCTTCCTGATGGTTAAAGCAAAGCGATCGCCATGGCGATTCTGTACAGTTCTTAAGGCCATTTAATGCCTGTTTTCATTTAGGCCTAACACCAAGTCTGTGGGGAGCAGCATTAGTGCTTCATTTTGCGCCTGAGGCCCCGAGGCCCATAAAGAAGAGAAGACAAAGGAACAGTCTCCTGTGATTATAAAACAAAAAATTCAGGTTCATGTCCTCCAGGTGGTGGTGGTGGCTTTAGAAGCCTAGGATGCCTGAAATTTGACACAAAACGGGGGGGGGGGGGGGGGGGGGTTTAAGCAATCACTTTACCACTGAGGTAAGAACATTTAGAGGGATAACACTTCTTTAATTTTTTTTTAAATTTTATGTGTATGAGTGTTGTAAGTGCACCATGTGTGTGCAATGCCTGAAGAGGGCATCAAATGTCTGGTAACTGGAGATACAGATAGAGTTGTTAACCCAGGCCTAGATAACTTTTTTTTTTTTTTTTTTTGGTGATAGGGCCTCATTCTGTAACTCAGATTGGACCACCAGGCTGGCCTCGAACTCACAGAGATCCGCCTGTCTCTGCCTCCAAAGTGCTGGGATTAGAGGTGTGTGCCACCACGCCCGGCATTT